TGCTATCCAACCTCCCTTTCCTGAGCACAGCCAAAAGCTGACTACAGGCTTGTCTAATGCAGCTGATACTGTAGACTCAGCACAAGCTGGACCCAGGCCAGTACATTAAGATGGAAGCACCAGAGAGGCCCTGAGTGAACAGATTCCTAATGGATAAGGAGCAAGAATCTTTTTCATCTTTTTTCATCTACTTTGACCTCGCTGCATTATCTGAAACCACTAGACATAGGATAACAGCTATTTCACCTAGCAAAAGTGGCACGAGGGAATGGAGGAATGAGCTAAAATGGCCCAAATTATTTTAGGGACACATATTAAATATTGAAGGAGAACATCACTTTTTCCATTAAGTTTCTGCTTTGTTTAGTCCAACAACTACCAAACATGGGGCAAACTGGTTAAATAATCTGAAGTTAAAATTCCAGCACATAAAAGAAAAAAATGCAGGTTTATCATTGGTTCACAGAAAATAAATGAAATTGGTCTGAGTTTGGGCAAGATTAGTGTATAGTGAAGAAAACCTGGCAGAGGTAAGACAGAGGAAAGAAGATATTTTGAGGCAATGACCTTGTGCCATGTGTGCAGTCCAAACAAACCAGTTCATTCTGTGCAGTTCCAGGCGAGTGCCTGAATTTCTCATTGTGTCTCATAGCAGCGTCCATATTTCCATTTAGCAATGTTTTCCATTATCATAATGTATCTCCAGTTATTTATGCTTTCTGTCACCTCCTGGCTGCCCTATGATCCTGGGCAGAAATCCCACAGAGCCCAGGAAACTCCAGCGTGTACGGAATGCTCCGGCACGGCTCTCCTGCAGCGCACGCTGCTGTGAGCAAGCACAGCTCATGGAGCCTGATTTCTGTTCTGCTCTGGGTCCTTCACACTTTGTAATTACCCTGATCTTTGTTTTGGAGGGATTTTGCTTTTCTGGCACAGCAAAGTGGGACAATGGCAGATGGAAGTTGCTGGGTTGGTAGCTGTGAACTCCCACAGGTTCTAAGGACCACTACAAATGTTACCACACTCCAGTGCAAGCACAAATCAGGTTGTTTGTGACTCTGTCTTTTGTGAAATAAATGTACAGGTTATATTTTTGGACAATGAAAATTTTTCAAGTTAATCACTCCGTACTTGTTCCCCTAGGATGAAACTCTTCCCTAAATGCATCTCAGCCTCTGGGAGAGAGGCTGATTGTGGATCTCAGTGGGTGCCAGCGGTCAGTGGGTGGATAATGTGATAAGCAGGGTGGCACAGAGGGTGTAACAACAAAGTTAAACCCTGCAACATCATAATTTGGGTCCATACAGAGGAATGCAGCATCAAGGAAGAGAGAGCAATCTCTCCATCCCTGCTTTTTTCTAGGATGAACTCCCTGTGGTGCCCCTTTGCTGAAGGAACTCTGCAGTGGAAATATTCTGCAGTCTGCTCCACTGAGCTCTTCTCCTCATTGCAATATTCTGGCCACTTCACACCTTTGTGGAGAGGGGACATAGACAAACCATTTATCATATCTGAATTCAAATTCTGGACAACAATTAAAGAATAAGTACTAGTGTTAGAGGAATCCATTTCTCTAACATCCATTCCTCAGTGCAGCCATTTCAGGTGTGAAAAGAGTTTAATCTTTAGGTCTATTTCCCTGAGGATTGACCTTATATGCTAAAAAAAGCCCAGTCTGTAATTATAAAGTAAGTGATAAGCATCAAATGGATTGTTACAGAACCCTTTTGTTGCCTTTATTGCATGATAAGGAGCAGTTGCTGTGTAACCTTGAATGTGGGCAAATAACTCATGCTAAACACATTGCGACAAAGATGGCATTTTGGCAGGGCTTTGATGTAGGTCATTTTATTACCAGGCTGAATCAAGCTACAAACTGATGTCAAACTCATGCCAAGAATGCTAATAACACACTGATCAATGAGGTGCTGGATTGCTCAAGTGAAGTGGTCGAGGGAAAATGCAGACTTAAAAAGTCTGGAATTCCAAAGGTTGAAGTGCTTGGGCTATTATACTGGGAGGAATTATATTCCTTGCATTAGGACAAGTTTTCTTTACTCCAGGGGCCTTTAGCTGAGTGTTGAACAGGACAGTGTCAGAAAGTATATACTTATCTTTATTTTTCTTGACCTTTATGTGCAAGTAATTTTTATAGTTCCATTAACTAGTAGGATCATTTGCAAACCACTGTACAAAGTGTATTATGAAGAATGCCTTGGGGACCATTGTATCCTATTATGCTGAATGTTAATAGAATGAAAAATTAATTTAAACTCTAAAGACTTGAGCAAGGCAAGACTTCCCTTTTATAGGAGAAATTCAAAATTTTATTTGCTATGGTAAAACTTTAGAGCCGTACCCTAATATGACCTTTATAAGCCTGATTTGAATCAGTCAGTGCAAGAGTCTGATTGTTTGCCACTTTAAATAAAATTACTCCTGTCAAAGCGTCTCTGTTTAAAAAAGGGGGTTTTCTGTGACCCCCACATTTGGAATTAGTCACTAGTGAGCTCTGAGCTCACAGCTACTTGTTTAGCAATTAATCAACCAGAGATGAGAGAGCCCACGGTTCCAAGAAGCATCTTCACCTTACTTGAGTCTTTAATTGCTCATTAAACATCATCATTTTCAGCAATGTGGGACTTCAGAACACCTGAAAACAAGGATACAGTTCTTTATAATATATTTTTTATTATTTTTTGTGTGACTGAGTGCTTTAGAATGAGGAGTTCTCTCTTGAGTCTTGCTGCTAAGTCTCACATTGCACTCTTCCCATAGGACTGCAGCTAGACAAGAGATCAGGGAGACTTCATTGCTTAATTAGTTACTATTATTTCATATTTATGTTAACATAGTTGAGGTGTGATAAATTTGTGTGGAAATTAACTCAATTTAGAGCAGTAATGTGCAGGAGTTCTGTTATTTGGAAGAGAAAAGAACCAGTCCCCCATGAACCTTCTTACTCACAATGTTTGCCTTGAGGTGAGAAGGTGGCCAAGTTAAAAGGGTAAAAAATGCTGTACATTTTACATGTTAGAGTGATTTATTATTGCAAATGTCCATACAGGCAACAGCAAAATCTCAGTTTTGACTTCCACATCTCTTATGAAACTAGGATGTCACATCAATGAGAAATGTGCTCTCAGCCAAAGCTGTGCAGCACACAATTCCTAAGGTATCCCTATCCCAGCATATCCTGTATCTTTTAGCACACTGTAGTTTGAATAAAAACCTGTGAATTTGTGACTGTTCTATATGTGAACTTCTCCCTGTTCTGGATAACCAGCCATTTTCAAATGATTGTTGGAAGGTGTGTATATTTTTATTGGGCTATCCTGTTTATCTAATATCCTGTCCTGAATTTCATCCCACAGCTGTAGAGTAGGATGCTTCACTGTCTCCAGAAAGCCTAACTCGAGTAAAATAAATGCACAAAAGATTAGGACAATTAGTGACTAGAGATTAGCTATGAATATTTCATGCCCACTGCAATACTGTCTAAACACAAGATATGGAATAAGAATAAATTGCATTTTTGACATGCAGCAAACGTAGAAAGGAAATGATTAATTTAGAAAGATCTTGCAGTCATTTTAACGAGGCAGCGTTCTAATCACTGGTCACGTGGGATCTGCTGGATAAAGAGCAGGAAAGTTTGTCCCGCAGGATTATTCTAAATTCACCTGCATTTTGATGTTGGATTTCAGTATTTTGTGAACAGCTCAGTGGCTTTTGTCTGCAATGACCCAACCAGAGAATAGCTAGAAAAATGTTTCCATGAGCTTTGATGACAGCCTGGGTCCAAGGTGTCATCCAGTCTGGGAGTCCAGCCAGTGTCAGGTGCAGCAGGAGTCATTCAAAGTGACAAGGCAGAGGTGGAGAATTTTTGGTGCAGGAGGGATCTGGGAACTGAAAGGGCTCCAGCTTTCATTCCACCTGCAGATCAGGGAATTATCTTTGGGATAACCCTTTTGTAGTCCAGCTTCAGGCAGTTCTTGGTTAAATAAACTCATTACCCACGTTTCCCATCTGATATAAAAACACAGGATATACAACCATAGATTATATATGATCTATATAGTGTATTTTATATATATGTACATACAGTTTAGTACAGTGACCTCATTGCCACTGCTTCATGCTTTTAATAACTCATGCATGTTGGTCTAGATGGAAATGATGTGTTCCAGCTTAACCATCCAATCTGAATCTCTGACACAAGGAGTTTTTGGCAGTGTCCTCAGTGGTAAAATGGAAACAAGGTAGTAAGCAACAAAGTTCAGTCTTTAAATCAGTTATTCAGTGCTCTCCAGGTTCTTTAGTATGTGATGAGCACACACTGGAAACTGTCAGACACTGAAACAGCACAGGAAAGGGAGTTCTAAAAACTTTGAGCTGTTCCTCAGCCAGCCTGTTTGTCTTGGTTTGAACTTGAGGATATTGAACTTCCAATATTGTACCAGTGACACCAAGAGCTGTAGTTATGGAAAACTGGCTGACCTTGAAAAGACAAAAATGCACTTATAGCCACTGCATCATGGAGTAAAATTATTTATTTTCTTGGAGCTGTTTTTTAAATGAAATCTATTTTGGATCTGAATATACTTACAAGACTGAGCTCCATTTTGTCTTACGAGCAGTTGCAATTTGAGTGCGATATAAGAAGCTGCTGTTCTGTAATATAATAATAATAAATGTCAGTTTGGTAAAAACTTTATTATGAAGCAAAACTGCTAACCAAAGGAATTTCTGCTGTGTGAGTTTTTCATTACAGGGCTGAAGTGACAAATGAATTTATTGCTGTCAAGAGACCTATATTTTATTTTGGTCACTTAGCAATAATTAAATCTTGTGAGTAATTATTTTTTTGTGTGTTTGTTTTGTTTAATATTTTTGCTTAATATTTTTAAACAAAATATTGCTCTCTAAGGCATTGTTTAGGGTATGTTTAGCAACCACTTAATATATTTACAATGCTGTGTGTTGTTTCCTCTCAACAGCACTGTGCACAGAGGAGTGTGTGCATGGAAGATGTGTCTCTCCTGACACGTGTCACTGTGAACCAGGCTGGGGAGGGACTGATTGCTCAAGTGGTGAGTAAAGATACCAAAATATGATTAAAATATGTTTTGCTGTTAAAAACCAGGTATTATAAAGCAGTGGCCTTAGAACTTGGATGATTGGAATGGAAAAATGAGCGTTGTCTGCTGGTTATTTTGTAAGAGCTCATAGTGGGTTGGAACAAAATGACCTTTAAGATCCCTTCAACCCCAATCATTCTGTGGTTCTATGAATATGTGAAAATACCCTTTCCCAGGATAATGACATGGGGCTTTTTTGGTTGCGTTTTACAAAGAACTGTGAAATGAAGTGGAGGATGCTGTTAATGCTTTTGCTCCTGTTATTAGGATACCAGTACAGATAATAGAGCTCTATAAAGAATTTTTTTTTCTCTCAAATCTTTAATACAGGGCATTTTTCATGAAGTACTCTTCATGTGTTGGAGTGTTGGAGTGTTTCGAAAGCACTCTCTCCAGATAGAATTCTTGTCCTGTTCAAGCCAGGGGGAGTTTTGCCATTGACTTTTCAGGCAGCCCAAATTCTCTCCTCTGACTTACAATCCATTCCTTAAATCCATACTGCCAAAGTTAGGGAAATGGGAGTTGGGAGTTCTGCACCTTTTGCTAGGGAATTAATCCACACTTGAGGCTTTCAGTTCTTTCAGCTGGCAAGGCTGTGTTTGTTAAACTCTCTTAATTGGGAACAATGAGTTGAAGTTGTTGGTTCATGCTGGAACGGAACAGGCAGCACAAACATCCGAGTGTGACGTAACACAGGCCTGAGACATTATTGACAAAACAGGAATAAGCTTGATAAATGGAGTCAATTTGTGCATCAGGCAAGTAAATAAAGCTGCATGGGTAGAGATGCTGTGAAATGGAACTGAATGTGTTGGCTTCCTCCCTTTCTCCCAAATTGATTGGAATCTTAAGAAAAGGAAGGTAACAGAGAAGGGATCTATAGAGGGGGAGTCAGAAGGAAATGGGAGGTAAATGTGCCTGAGGGTGAACACAGCCAGAGGCTGAAGGCAGCAGGGCAGATTCCTGGATGGGTTCCTGGGGTTTTGTCTGCACCTGTGCTGAATATCCCCTTGATTCCAGCAGAAAAGGGAATAGGGAAGGGAGCAGAGAAGAAGGACTTTAGTCCAGAGGGGATGTGGATGCTCCAGCTCTGGGAGTGTTCAAGGCCAGGTTAGACAGAGCCCTGAGTAACCTGGTGTGGGGGTGGCATTCCTGCCCGTGGCAGGGGTTGGGATGAAATCATCAGTGAGGTCCCTCCAACCCAAACCATTCTGGGATTATATGACTCCAAAGATGGAAACAAAGGCCATACTATAGGGTTTGAAGCAACATTTTGGGATTACCTGGAATGTGGACAAGGGAAAAACTGGTCATCATGATATATTGAATATCTGTCTTTAAAAATATTAAAAAAAAATAAAAATAATACCATATATTGTGAGATATTGTATAGATTCTCAGGAACTCACATAATGTTTTTATTTTTCTTAGTACTAGATTTAGTTTATCCTGCCAGTGAGTATTTGTACAGTGCACATGCACTAACAGAAGTTAAAAATAATAATAAAAAGGCTATGACAATAAGCACATACAGATACAGATTATACATTTATAGACATGTGCACTCACAGGGTAAAAAGCACTTCATTCTGTGTAAAAATGGCCAGCAAAGGATAAGATGTCAAAGTACAGAATGGTCTTGTGGACTAAAACTACCCAGTGACTCTTATTAAATTGCTCTAATCTTGCAAGTGGAGATAAAAGAAAAAGAGGGTTTTTCCTATATTGAATATTTAGCTTTTTAAAGTAATTAGGAATATTAAAGCACTGACAATGATTGAGATAGAAACATTATTCATAACTTTTATTTCCGTGCTGGGCAGGGATCCAGTATATTTCATTTATGAGGTTTCAGTGGTGGAAAGAGAAGTGTTAGCCAATTCCTAAATTAAATATGCCCTGTTAACTTTTATAAATGATAGCCCAGGATTAGCTTCAAAATTTAAGCTTTCATTTTATTAATATAATTAGTGTGTTTGCTGGCCTATAGTGCCCATTGTCTTTCATTGCACTTGTTATATGCTGGGTAACACATGTTCCTGCCCCAAGGTCTGATCCCACAGGCTCTGCCCAGTGGAATGCTCCTAGGAGGGAAAGTCAGTTTTACTGCACCGGAGAGCTGCTCGCATTTGTGCTTGACACTAGAAATTTGGGTAACTGGACTATTTATTGTTAAGATACTTTGTTTAAATTCAAAGGTTTAAAGAAACAGATTTCAGCTGAATACAGCACATTGTTACTCCCAGTATTTCCAAGAAAGGCGGAATCTGGAAGCTTTGCCTAACTGAAGTTAGCCATGTTTTTCTGATACCTGATCCATGTGTTAAATCATATTTTACTGTTATCCAGTTATAATGTGGAAAACAATTTTCATTTCTACTGGAATAATGTGTCACCTGTACCTGCTTTCTTTCTGTTCCTTCATGACTGATGACTGCTGGGTAACCAATGAAGGTCACATGTTTGCAGAGCCAAAGGCTGTTTGGGATGTTCCTGCACGGTGCGCTCAGGACAAATTGAGGCTGGTGGTCAATGGTGCCATCCCAAACCCGTGGGGCTCAAGAACTTCCCAACAGATTCCTCAGGATCAGGGACTTGATGCAGTCACAGGCATATTGCTTTTCATGTTGGCTGTTTGAAGCGCTTTCACTGGGAGAGGGATTGCCAGCCAAAACACTTCCTTTAAATTTAGCAAAGCTCCCAGGAGCTGGAATGGTTTCCTGAATGATCTCTCCTGAAAGCACTGCTGAGAAAGGGAGCCTCCCTGACACTGGGGGTCGTGTGTTGTCATTTACTTGGGAAAGATCTAAGGATGCTCACTCTTCCTGAGATACAATTTCAACACCCTGCAGACACAGCCATTATAACTTTCTAAAAGTTATTTCTAACTTTCACTTGATTTGATGGGTGAAATTCAACCATTAGCAAAGCTCCAGCACAAGGTCCAAGTGTCACTTCAGAACCAGAAGTCAGATCCAAATATTCTTTCTTGGTGTGCCTGTGCCTGGAGAGGGTCTGAATGCTGACACTGAGCCCCAATTTACAACAGAGAGGCAAAGTTGTGGTGTAAAATGCAGTTCCCCAACATTACCGTTCTCCCTTGGCTAAAATATTCTCAATTAAATGTTTTGAATAGTTACAGCTGCAGCCTGTAGTCATGCAAACAATTTAATCATCTTGCTCAGACTTGGTTTCATGCTTTCCTAGAACCCAGCCTATAAGACAACAGTTACAAAACTTGCTTTTCAGTGCAGCTTTCCAGTGACTGATCATGGTACGTGTTAAGAGTTCATCTGTTGTCAAGGTTAAAATAACTTCAGATGAATTGCTAAACAATTATAAAAAACCCCAGTGCCATATTCAGCTCTGCATGTCTCTGTACCTGTGTTTTACTGCATGCTGTTGTACATCTGTCCATGCCCACAGGCCTAGCCTTGATTTCATGCTGTAAAGCTGCAATATATTAAGGCTTGATTACCATAACAATAAAAAGAGAAGTAATGAGGTATTAACTAAAGAAGCTCTTGAACAAAATGTTTTCAGCATTTTAATGATGCTAAAAATTAAAAGGAAAGTCCTTTTTAAAGACCACTGCATACCTTTCCCTTCCCTTTTAACTTGTTTTATTGAATCATGCCTGTTTTGTCCATGCAATCTGCACTGGTTTTTTTTTAAATACAAAGCAAGATTGCAAATGCTCTGTGTGAACTTACCTGCTCACCTTTCCAATTATTTCAGAGCAATTAGTTTCAAACAGTATGATATACTGGCTTGAAGTTCTGATGGGGATATAACTGCCTGTTGGTGGTTATCTGGCCTCTTCTGGGTTTTGCTCACAGCCATCTGTATTTACAGGCCCTTAAGCCACCATCCAGCAAAGAATGTAAGCTTATCCTTACACAAGTAGGACTTCTCATCTGCTTTAAGTATTTAGGTGGTTGTTAAATTAGTTTTGAAGGAACAGCTAAAAAAACTTCAGTAAAATTAATACAAAGCTTTAATTGAAATCATCAGGCCTGTGAGGAATAAGGTGATCTTTCTTTCAAGATGTTAATCAGGTAATTTTTTGAAGACCATTTTGATTCTCACAAGCATTATTTATTGTGAGGAAGGTCACAGAAATCTTTCGGGTTATAGGGCATTCTCAAAAAAGGGGCAACATGTAGGAAAAAGAAAGTTCTGGGCAAGAACCCCAAATTAAAAGCAAAAATCTTCCAAAACTGTGTGTGCCAGGTTGAGAAATTTCCAAGTAAACAAACACAGAGGTTGTAGTAAAAAAATAAAGTGGTTTTCAAAGTGTTTGATTTGTTATTGGTTTTGAGAGAAAACACAGTACTTTCCCAAAGTGCAATTAAAGAGATGTTGGCATAATAACACCAAACCATTTTTCTTGCTGTGTCACCTGGGGAGAGAGATTATAGTGCTGCTGTCTGGCATAGCCTGATCCATAAGGTATACATATGGATAACATAGTTTTCCTTGGAATCGGTGTTTTGTACAAGCTGTCATTAGGAACAAGAACCTATTTCATCTTTATCTCTTTGTCAAAAATAGCCAAGGTCATAACAACAGACTGTTGTAAAATCACAGCAAGATCACTTTTAAGGGTATAGCCCTGGAGCAGCTGGAGTGCCTCAGTCCTGAGACTCGTGATGAATGGGAACAGCAGATTCTGTGCTAAATCTGAACGGGGTTGTTTGACAAGCCATGGAAAGCAACAGCAGAACTCTCAGGAGAAAAATGAAGTGTTTTAAAGTGAGGCTGTGGTGGTTTTCAGGCTTGATTTTGGCATTCATGTTCTCCAACTGCTTTGAACTATTTCTGAAGAGGAAATGAAGTTCAAAGGAAAGATCTCTGGTTCATGAATTCAGACTCAAACAAAATTCATGTGGGAGGCTGATCTGCCAGAATCATTAGCTGATTTTTCATCCTCAGACTTTTAGGACAGGATT